ATTCTAATTCTTTTAAGCTAAAAAACATTCCTATCTATGAAGTCTTGCCAAGCTCATTGAGAGAGTGATTAGAAAAGTTCTTCGATTTAGAGAATAAGTGCTATGGTGCTCAAAAAATTCCAATCACCTTCTCATTCACCATATGGCTTACAATCCATACAAATAGAAGTTGGATATAATGCCTTAAATATCCATCCCTTTTTCTCCTACATAAAAGTTAATGATGAGAATTTTTTCACTAGGATTGTAGTTGTAGGGTTGACCTTGAGAGATATAAAACTCTTGAATACATTGACAACCTTGAAGTCAATCATGCCTTTGGCTTATAGCAATAACACCAAACCATATATGGCCAGTGCCAAAATTTAGATCTTAATGCTATTATTATGGTCCCGTAAGTGTTTTGTGAATTCCGCTTAAAATATGTTCCAAAACCTTTCCCGACTTTAACCCATCTTGATTACTTTTTTTTTTTCCATATTTGCGAGGTCATTTCCAATTAACCATGCAAAATGGGTGTATGCTTACTCATATGGGCTATAAGTACATTGCATCTATTTCAAGAAACGCCAATAGGGCCTCATACTCTTCAAGTATAGGTGATAGATCTATACTTCCAAAGGTGAAATAGTTGTATTCTAAATCCTAATGCCTACTATGGCTTAGAAGCATGAGATTTGAATCATTATCTTGAGCAGCTAAGCAATATCACCATATGCTTTCTAAAATTCAAACTTATCTTAAGAGGTAAGCATTTCCCAATAATTGAGAAGTGAGCCCACATTAGCCATCCTGTTAGCAAGTTTGAGCTTTTCGACATGACTTTAACATAAAGTCCAGGGGTAGACAGTCTCCTTCATCAACTTAAGCCTATTTTAAACCTGTCTTTAAAATCCTGGACTACATTTCTCATTCTCTCCGTCATGATTTGTGTTGGTGATAGCCTATAAAAATTAGGGTTAGAACTCTTATCATTTGAAAATACTTCATGTCTTAATAAATCAATCATAATAAATAGGATCTAGCTTTTCCGAGGCTTAGGCAAAGCTTATCCAATCCCGAAGTCATGTTAAGTTTTCAAACTATCTAAATTACTAGTAGGGTAATTCAGCTTCTAACCTTATGTACTAGGAGGTATGAGAATGTCATTTCATGATTTCCTATGTATATGGTGAGTTTATGTCCAAATGAGAGTCCGGACAAGCATCAATAGACTTTCATTATACTTACCTCTAAATCACTCTATCTAAATCCTAATAGGGTTTTAGGTCGAGTCTAGAACTTTTACGAGCTTCCTTCATGGTGTGTATACCAGTTCAAAATAAGTATATCTAACCTAGATCACAAAATAAATATGTATAGAAATTAAAATGTAAAGAAAATAAATTACATAAAGAAAATAATTTGAAATTAAATAAACATTAAATAAGTACTTGGAAATAAAGTATTTTAGATATAAATGAAAAAAATAAAAAAGGAGATAAACTTTGAATAGACTAAATTTATGACCTAACTCTAATTCCCTAGTAGAGTCGTCATTCCGTTGCTATCCGATGTTCGCGGGACTCTCAAAATTTATTTAAGATTTGATTTCCTTTGTAAATTTTTTTTTAGCGATGTGTTATTTATTAACTTTGGATTTGCCTCCAAGTATTAAAGAAACCATAAACTTAAAATGGGCACTCGGTTCAAAGATTTTAGAGTAAGGAGTTGGTTATGCCTTTAGAAAGATATCAATCACCCAAAAGCACCATTTCTTAGGATAGGTACCATGTCTAGTTAAGTCTTATTGTTTATCTCCTAAAAATTTATATTTTTTTGCAAAAATTAATCCTAAGTCAAAATTTCAAGTTTTATTTCCTAAGCCAAATTATTTTTATTTATTTATTTATTTATTTGTGGCATCATGTTAAATCGATCATCGGATCCCTTTGTTAGACATTACATCAGTTCAATATCGAATTCAATTTATGTCTCGACATAATCGTTATGTTAGAGAACATATTAATTAATAAAGTGATTAATTTAGTTTAACATCAATCCATATTTGATAGGAGACTTTGTTTATTTTTCTCCTAATATTTTCTATGTTTTTTTTTTATTTTCTCTCCTTTTTTCTTATTATTTTTCTTATTTTCTCTCTCTCCTTTTTATTGTTTCTTTTTTTTTTTAATCTAATCTTTTCTCTTTCTTATTATCTTTTTTTGTTCATGATTTTTTATATTTTTTATATTTTTGTTGGTGGAGAATCATCATCGGTATCTAAAAGTTAAGAGACTTGACGGTTCATCCACCTATTAATTATCTATTTTAATTATTTAAATACACCTAAACAATTAAACATTTCAACTAAATAAATAAATAATTCAATAATTAAAAAGTATTAAACTTAAGCTAGGCATGAAAATAAAAAGCATGTATTACAAAATTCAGGATCGATTTTCTTAGAAAAAGGCTATAAAAATTAGGATTATTGGGCCCTTTAGACCTAGTGGGCTTTAAACTCATTGGGCTAGCCTCGTTGGGTTGGCTTGCCCCCTTTCCTCTTTATGGATTAGGCTAAGCCCAGCCATCTTTCTTCTTTTTTCTTTTCTTTTTCGAGTCGGGCTAGACCCAACCCATTTTCTCTTCTCCTACTTTTCTTTCGGACTTGGCTAAACCCAATCCAACCTATATTTTTTCTCTTTTCCTTAGGCCATGCCGAGCCTAACCCTTTTTCTCCTTCTCTTTCCTTTCCTTCTTTTCTCCTTCTCTTCATTTTTTTTTCCTTTCCTTCTTCTGGACTCGAATGTCCAGTTCATCAATATCTCGTAAATTCTATTCCATTAACTAAAATTTCCCTAATGATACCCTAACGATTTCTAAGCTAACTGGATATCCTCATAACTTCTCTTTCTTAGATAGTTTGATGAATTTGAGTCCTTGGACTCAATCGATGGTAGTGACAATGTCGGTGCCATTTTCCTTTGCTCAAATGGAAAATGGAGTAAAGACCGATTAGTATGAACAAATAAGGAGATTCGAGTTACTTGAGGGAAGTTTGAATGATTGGGACGAATTTGAAAGTTTGAGTGTGGTTGCCTTGATTTCCTCTACTTATAAGTGATTGAAAATGACTGGTGGATGGGGTTTGTGAGGACTGTGTGATCCGGAACTTATGGGACCGTTGTTATGATTAGGGACTAGATAAATGCTTGAAAAGGTTGATTTTTAGTGTTCTTAAAACCTAGAAATTGAAGAACAAAAACCTAGAATTTCAAGAGAAAGCCTAAAAATTCAACCAAAACCCAAAAACTCAAGAACACAAACCCGTAAATTCAACCCAAACCCAAAAAAAATATATATCTATTTGAATATCTATATTCTTCTCTCTTCACTCCTTGCTTTGATTTTCTCTTTTCTTCCTTCGATCCTCCTTTTGTAACCTCTAAACCACTCCTATTTATACTCAATTTTCCGTTAACAAACACAAATTTTTCTTCTTCTTTTTTTTTTTTTGAATTTCAAACCATTCGATCAAAGACCTTATCTCTCAATTCTATTTGCTTTAACTTTCTAATCCTTTCGATTTTCTAAAGCATGATTTGCGGACCAAGCAAAAGAGAAGAATTGGTGAGCTAATCGAGAATCAAAATGGTTAGAAAACCCGGAAAGGCCAAAACCATTATTGGTCTTCAAACGCAAGAGATAGTGAACGAATGTTCATTATCTCAAATGGTAATTTTTCATATCGATCGCTTGATTTTTCAAAATTTTCAATTGCATCCTCTCGATTTCTTTCAATTATGCACTTAGTTCATCCCGAGTTTGTTCAATGTAACTCCTATTAGCTTCCAATTTCAAGCTGATTTAATGCAATTATGCCATTGATCAAACATATCCCTTAATTTTGTATATTTTTTATTAATATTTTTTATATTGCATTTTTTTATTTCTTTTCTTTTCCTTTTCTTTGTAGTGAGTACTTAAAATAAAAATAAATGAAAAATGAAATAAAAATAAGGAATAAATAAAATAATAAATAAAGAAGGATAATAAAAAAAGTAAAATAAAAATAAAAATAAAAGCAAAAGGACTAAAATTAGGAAAAAATATATAACTTAAAATTTAGGTTATGACAACTAGGAGTGAGTATTAAGTTTTTTTGTTTTAATTTTTAAAATTTTAATTTGGTTTTTAGTTAATTGAATTCATAAAGACACACGCCGAACTTAAACCAAATTCTATTTAGTTTTTCAGTTTATGAAACTAGAATTTGGTTTTTAATTTTGGTTTTTTGATAAAAACATTTTTTTTATTTTTTAAAATAATATAAATAGATAATAAAAAAAATTACAAGATGAATTATGGAGTCCTTCCTTTAATCCAAATGGTTTAAATTAACATATATGAAAGATAATAAATATTTATTTAAGACTAAAACACAAAATCATACAACACAATGAGATATCAAAATTTAAATATAAATCCAATAATTTACATTTAAAATATAAAATAATAAATTATTATTAATTGTTTAAATATGTTGTAAATCAAATTATTAGAATTCAAATAACAATAAAAATTCCATGCATGTTATAAAAAACATTTTTTGATGAAAACCAAAGTTGCAAATTTCAAAATCGAATCAAAGTGGAATAATTGAAATTAATTTAGTTTCGATTTTTTTTCTAAATTTAATTGAAAATCAACCGGAATTGATACTTCCATTTCTTGAATTAGTTGGTTTTTAACCGAAATACTGCCGATTCATCCCTAATCGTGACTCAGTTACCGAGCCTTGTTACTCGTCTTCAGAAGTTCAGATACAATATTTATGTGGACATGTAATGATAACGCCATGGTCTGGTTCGGCGCCAATTCACAGTTCCTTCCCACTCGTCCTTTTTTTTTTTTATTTACAATGGCACCTTCGTAAAATGGACTTATCCACAGGAGCTGCAAAACAACTTATTACATCACCCAAATAAAAAAGACACAAGCTCTCCTAACGGCCACACATGGCCTGCTTCACCTCGAACCCTCTGCAGCAAAAGCATGCATTCTCACTCACTCACTGTAAGTATCCATCACCATCTCTTAATACTTGCAAATTCCACTCTTTATCTCCCATTCCTGGTTGCTCACCTTCCAAGCACACACCATTTTCTGTAGCTAGACCCCATGCCAGGACCATACTAAATGTACATGACACTCCAACAAAAACCAAACATTCAAGAACTAGAAAAGAAACTAATGCATCGGGGATTTCTTCTTCAAGGAGAATAGCTAAAAGGGTAGAGAGAAAACATGTTAAAAACCTTACTACTTCTTTAGTAGAGGAGAAGACTGAGAAGCGGTTTGCAAAGGATAAAAATACAAGAAATGACATGGGTTTTAGAGAAAGGAAAGAAATGGGTTCTGAGAATTGTACTATGAGGTCTAGAGATGGGGATAAGGGGATTAAATCTTTGGAAACCATTGACAGTAAAGTTGTTAGTGGTCAAATGGGGAATAAAACAAAAAAAGGTAGTGATAATCAAGTTATTAGAGAGGAGAAAATTGGAAAGGGGTCCAAAGAAGACGAGGTTGATTCATCAGAACCCAAGTTACGAGTTAGGTTGGATATGTGCTCGAAAAGAGGAGATGTCATGGGTGCAATTCAATTATATGATCTAGCTCAGAGAAAAGGAATCAAGATGGGGCAGTACCATTATGCTGTACTTTTGTATCTTTGTTCCTCTGCTGCTGTTGGTGTTGTTCAACCAGCTAAAAGTGGGAGTGGTAGTCGAGCCTTTGATTCGTTAGACGTGTCTAATGTAAAATTTCTGGAGTTGAGTGAATTAAAGGATAAGGATGATAGGAAAGTTGGTGCTACAGAATTGGATATTCAAGTTTCCAGAAATAGGAAGAAATTAGTCAATGCTGATAGAGAACCTGGAAGTATTGCTAAAATGGAGTTGAATCATAACAGTAAGTCTGGTAATTTCAATTACAAGGAGAGTTTGGTCCCGTTTTCCAATGGGTGTAACAAGCCAAACTCTCAACACTTGGATGGGCTGCCTTCACTTAGAAAAGATAAAAATATCGATAACCATCGCAATCATGAAATTCAGGTCAGTGAAGATGTCAAGAAGTATGCACTTCAAAGGGGCTTCGAGATCTTTGAGAAAATGTGTAAGGAAAAGGTCCCAATGAACGAAGCAACCCTGACAGCTGTGGCTAGAATGGCAATGTCAATGGGTAATGGTGATCTGGCCTTTGATATGGTGAAGCAGATGAAGCCACTAGGGATAAATCCTAAATTGCGTTCGTATGGACCTGCTCTATCTGTGTTTTGCAGCAGTGGAGACATCGATAAAGCATTTTCTGTAGAGAAGCACATGTTGGAACATGGCGTTTATCCAGAAGAGCCCGAATTGGAGGCACTCCTAAGATTGAGTGTAGAAGCTGGTAAAAGTGACAAGGTTTATTATTTGTTGCATAAACTAAGAACAAGTGTAAGGAGGGTCTCACCCTCTACTGCAGGCATAATTGTTAGATGGTTTAGCAGTAAGGCAGCTTCAAGAGTGGGGAAAACAAAATGGGACCATAGATTGGTTAATGAAGCAATTGAAAGTGGAGGTGGAGGATGGCATGGGCTGGGTTGGCTGGGTAAGGGAAAGTGGATGTTTTCTTGTACATCAGTTGGACAGGATGGGATTTGCAAAAACTGTGGACAGAAATTGACCACAATTGACCTTGATGCAATAGAAACAGAGAAATTTGCCGAATCAGTGGCTTCTATTGCCATCAAACGTGACAGAGATTCAAGCTTTCTAAAATTCCAAGTACGAAAAACCCCTGTGTATTGCTTATAACATTGTATGATAAAATGAATGAGAGAAGGAGTACTTTCATTTATTATGATTATTATTTATTTATTTTGGCAGAAATGGCTTGATTACTATGGACCTTTTGAAGCAGTGGTAGATGGAGCAAATGTAGGTATTTTCAACCAGGGAAGATTCATGCCATCCAAGGTATATGATCAGGCGGCTTAGATGGATAAGACATAAGAAATTCAACAATTTATTTTTTCTCTTCATTTTATTAATTGATTTAGAGGTTGCAGATCAATGCTGTTGTTAATGGTATACGTCAGAAGCTTCCATCAAAAAAGTGGCCCCTAATTATTTTGCATAACAAGCGAATTACTGGACGCAAGATGGATGAACCGGTAAATAAAGCTTTCATCGAAAAGTGGAAAAATGCCGATGCACTTTATGCAACACCCACTGGATCCAATGATGATTGGTGAGAATTTTATACACAGTGATGCCTTTACCACAAAGAAGTTAATTGCAATGTCTTCATTAACTTACTTCTGTTATAAATTTCTTCAAATATGCAATATCATATGAAGTGCCATAGGTAATACCCTGTGCTTCAGGTACTGGTTGTATGCAGCTATAAAGTTCAAGTGCTTAATTGTGACCAATGACGAGATGAGAGACCATACATTTCACCTTCTAGGAAACGACTTTTTCCCTAGATGGAAAGAAAGGCATCAAGTAAGTAAAGTTCTTCAGAAGTCCAGCACTTTTAACCAGCCTCTTTTCTGTTGTAAATGTGAACGTTTCCACAATCTCTCTTTCTGGTTCAGAAGTTTCTTGTGCAAGTAATAAGGATTCGATATTGCAATTTGCAACCAGTGATGCTTCTTATATTGTAACATAGCAACTTTGTTTCCTAATGGAAGGTGCATTTCAGAATTACTGATGCTGGTCCAGTTTTTGACATGCCTCCGCCTTGCTCAGTTGTAATTCAGGTAAGAACTATTGAACTCCTTATAAATTACTTTCCAATCTATATGGAATATGAAGAATAAAAGAACGATAACTAGTGGCTATTCATGTTCTCTTGTAATGTAATTGTGATTTATTGAAAGCTGATGGGTTAGAGGTACATGTAAACTTGGCATAAAAACATTTAACAGGAGTCAGATAAAGGATACTGGCATATTCCAATTGAAACAGAGTGTGAATATGAAGCAGAAAGACCCTGGTTATGCATTACACGGGCTAAAGCACAAACGGCAAGGCAGCATTATATCACCACCACACCTGAAGGTATTACAAGTCAATTAATTCTTGGTTTCTAGTCCAAATATTTGTATTGGTGAAATGTAATTTTCTTCCCTAGTGTTTTACACTCAAAATAATGACATTTTAGTGCTTAGCTGTTCTAAGGTTCATTTGATTAGAAGGATACTCGATTACTTGAGATGATGGCAAAAGCCACTACATTTTGAGTGCTTTTTCTCACTCTGAAATGTCCAAAAACCACCAAGCATGCAGATGATACTTTTGGGTAAGTATTTGTCAGTGGTGCTCCTTCACAGCCTTAATGAAACAAAGCCTGTATTTAAGACCATAAGAAAGGCAGCTGTAGTGGTGGACATCAGGTCTCTGGTCTTACAAGTAGGCTTAGAATCATATGTTACTGGTAAGAAGAAGAGCATCCAACCCCCTCCTCCCTCTCAATTATAAGCATTTGACCTGTTCAAGTTCTTTCTTGTGCACATTTTCTTTCATCTAGCTTCAATGTTTCTGCTACTCATCTGCATGATGGCAGCTAATAAACTTTATAGCTACTACTGAAGCCTTGAACTTTTCCAAATAGAAAAGTTTATCACGAGTTTTATTATCTACGATTCATTTTTAATTTTGCACCAGTTGTCAAAGCCAAGCTAATGCATATATGCATTGACACCCTCAGTTCACCTGTATTGAATAGGATCACAATCTGTTGGACATAGTAAAAAGCAAGCGAGGTCCACTGTGCAGACTGGAGTTGCGATAAAGCCAGAGCACTTCAAACATAGCATCTCCGAAAACGTAGGAAAGCCACTTCAAGACTATAAGAATCTTAGAAATATTCTTGCAGCATCAGGGTTCCCAGATCATCGCACTGTTCGATTAGAAATTGAGGCAGCAGAGGAACTTGGAGACTGTGTTATTGACTTTCAGATATGAAGTTAATGGCTCTTATTTTGATCTTGAACAATTCAACTATACTTCTACAATCTCGAAATCCGGATCATGTAGATGCAGTTAACGGGCCATACCACATTGCGGCAAGGCATTCGCCTCCGGTGGGTTACTTCATCTAGTTTTACTGATCAAAGTGTGGCCATTATATTAATTGATTTATTATCTAATATATTCGTGAATGCATTTGCCTGTTGTTATACCTAAATTTAAGTTGAAGTGAACAGTAAAAAATGGTAAGGTCAATATCTAATTGAAGCCTAATATCCAAATTAGTTTCAAATGTTTGACTAAGGCTCGAATGCCCGATTTAAACTCTATTGACGGGAAGTCTGGCACCGATTGGAAAGGTGTGAAGAAAGAATAACGAATGCATCGATTCTTAAGGAGATCATAAAGTATGGACTCTTGATAAGATCGAGTTGTTGGTGATAATAATAGTCCTAATGACCAGAAGACCACTCAACAATATAATCAATAAAAATTCAGTAAGAATTCAGCATCAGAAAAACATGATGAAGACAGCAATAGAAAAGTCATGGACTGCAGCATAGAGTGGGAAGTTGCAAGGAAATATAGAGCATTGCAGAGGTGCACAGCAAAGTGCAAAAGAATATGTTCTATTAAGAAAGATCATGAAAGAGCTAAAAGCCTATAAATACAAGCTACAACAATAGAAAAAACACACAACACAACAAAAATCAAACTCAAGAACACTTGGAAACAACAAGAAGCTCATAGAATACCATCCCAAGTTTTAATACACTTGAAACTTCTTAGGCTATAGCTTGTAAGTAGTAATCTGTAGGCTATAATCGAATAGGTTGATATATTTATAGGTCGATAGATTGGTTTTTTGTTCTTATCCTATGTCTATAGTTTGTGATCGTAAAGGATCGAAATGTTTGGACTATCCAATTATAAGTATTCTTCGTTGTCAACAAATGTGAGTTTTAATTTTGTAATTTCTAGTTTAATGTATTGTTAAACTTGCAATCTTGTCTTTTAGTGTAAGTAAGTTGTCCAATTTTGTAATTTCTAGTTTGAACTTGTATTTTGATTGCAAATTAGTTTGAGAAATTTTAATTGCCCATTTAAGATAATCACCATTGTGAATAACTAACTTTGCAAACTTGCAACCTAACCTATCTAGATAGAATGCAAACTTTACTTGAGGGTTGCAAACTAATTTTAAGTTGTCTATACATATATATATATATATATATATATATATTAAAAACAATCTTAGGAGAAGTAGTAGTACACGTGAGATCACTAATTAAGTTTTTTTTTTTTTTTTCGAGTTTGGAAGTTGGACTCTCCTACGTACCACTATCCAAACACTTCTTATTTTTTATTTTCGTACAAAGTCCTCTTAATTGAGTCGACATAAAAGAACTTATAAAATAAAACTTGGGTTGGATTGAACAACCCACCAAATTAAAGGAGTCGTGTCCATGTCTAATTAAGGCTTAATATCCAAATTAGTTTTAAACGTTTGACCAAATGCCCAAATATTTGATTTAAACCAAATCAAATAAAAAGTCTAGCATATAGTTCGAAAGAACTAAAGAAAGAATAAGGAATGTAACGATTTTTTAAGAGATTATAGAGCATGTACTCTTAACAAGATTGAATTACTATTGAATACGCTTAAAGAATAACAACCTTAATGCCTAGCAGACTAGTAAAAAACATAATCAACAAACATTCAATGAGAATTCAACATCGAAAGATACGATCAAGACGACAACAACATAAAGACGTGGAGCATTACAACATAGAATAGGAAGTTACAAGGAAACATAAATCATTGCAAAGGTGCATGCAAACGTGCGGAAGAACATGGTCTATTAAGAAAGATTAGGAAAGAGATATAATCATATAAATACACGTTACAAGAGGAGAAAGCACTCAAAACAACAAACAATCAAACTCAAGAACACTTGCAAGCAACAAGAAGTTCTTAAGGCACTATCCTAAGTTTTAGTACACTTGAAATTTGTTAGGCTATAACTTATTAACACTAATCTAGAGAATATAATTAATTAGGTTGATAGATTTGTAAATTGATAGATTGGTTCCTAATTCTTATCCCGCATCCACAACTCGTGATTGTGAAGGATTGACATGTTTGAAGAATCCATTTACAAGCACTTTTCATCATCAACGAATGTGAGTGTCCATTTAGACTTGTTGCATTATTAGGCTTGAAATATTTTCTTTTATTTTACGTAAATTATTTAATATTGTAATTTATAATTTAAACATGTTATTTTGATTGCAAATTAGTTTGATATTTTGAATTGCTCATTTAAGATAATCACAATTATGAATAATCAACTTTGCAAACTTAGAATCCTACTTGTTTGGGTAGAATGCAAACTTCATTTGAGGGTTTTTAAGTTGTTTGATTTAGTTATTTTATTTAAAAAAAATCCTTTAGAGAAGCAATAGTACATGTGGAATCACTAATTAAGTTTTTTTATATTCGAGTATAGAAGTTAGACTACTTTACAAATCACTATCTAACTATGTTTCATCTCTTTTGTACAAAGTTTTTTTAATTTAAATAAACATAAAAGAACTCGTAAAACAAAATTTATGTTGGATCGGACAACCCACCCCCTTCCTAAAAAAAAAAAAAAAAGTAGCTCGACTCATGTCTACTCGAGGCTTAATATTCAAATCAATTTTAAATCTCCGACCAAAAGCCCAAATACCCGATTTAAGCCCAATTGATGGGAAGTCTAGCACCCGGTTGGAAAGGTTTGAAGAAAGAATAGCAAATGCAACTTTTTTTATGGAGATCATAAAGTATTCACTCTTAAAAAAATTGAGTTGTTGTTGAACACACTTAAAAACTAACGATCCTAATGATGAGAAGACTAGTAAATAATATAATCAATAAAGATTTGGTAAGAATCCAACATTAAAAGGATACGATGAAGATAGTAATAAAAAATTCACGGAGCATTGTAGTATAGAGTGGGAAGTTACAAGGAAACATAGTGACACAAAGTGTAGTCTAAAAAATTCATGTGGGCTTAAAATCACACACAAATAAATCAAGAGGTTTCTTTTCAACATAGTCCAACTATAGGATACCTTAATTCTTATAGATTACCTTTTAGGTTTGGGTTTATCCTTAAATTTTTCCCGATCTTGTTGAGATAACTAACCTAAATTAAGGTTTGAATGTAATAAAGAATCTAAGTAGTTTGGTTTAAATGTAACAAGGAGTATAAGTAGCTATATAGTTCTTTATTTAATTTAGATAAGAAGTAAGAATCATTGAAGAAAGATGAGACTAAAGTTTTATATTCCATGTGGAATAAGTTTTCTTTGATCTTATCTTATCTTGTTGTAGTCAAATTTTGCAATTAGAAATTATGCCTTGCATGGCTAGCCTTAAACTAATATAAACAAGGGTCTTATGCATGTAAAGAGATGTTTTGAAGATTAATAAAATACTTAAAAAGTTTCTCTAAATTTTTGAATCCTTGTGCTTTGCTTTTATATATATATATATTTTTTTTTCTTTTTTTATGTCTTTGATTTGATCAACCAAGGTGGTGCTATTGTTCACCAATCTAATCAAAAGTGTAGTGGGGTTCTAAACCTTACCAAAATTATATAAGTTACTTCACTTAGGTTGTAGTGGAGTTTGTCAAAAACTTTTTCAAAATCAATCAAAACTTAAGTCTTTCATCAACTACAAGTTTCAACCAACAATAAACCTAGGCTAGAATAAGTCCAAGCTTCCAACTCTTTTATGTTTTGCTATCGAATTATAATCTTTTTTGCTAGATAAAGGATTCCTATAAGTAATTGATTAAAAAAAAGTTTCAAACTTTTATGTTTAGGTTAAACATTATGTAGACCTAAAATCAAGTTAGTGCAAAAGGTGGTGTCAAGTTTGCAAAGCATTTCAACATCCGAATCAAAATCAAATCTCTGAAAAAAAAAGGTTTTATGCCTCAAAGATGATCGCTTTGTAACTAAAACCTAATTAAAGTGAGGGTCCAAGAATATGAGCATAAGGGATGACAAAAGGCTTAAGAATGTCCACTAGTAATTTTTTATAGTAAGGAGAAATAAGAGATGAAAGAACTATAAGAAGACTACAAGGACTAATAGAATCACAAAAGAAGCCGAATTGCGCAAGTAGTGGCATAAGTGGTCAAAATAGGAAGATAAGATTCTTAAGTTTTAGCTTTAAAGGAAGCAACATTGCAATATTTCTTGATGGCCATGAGTGTTATAAAAGATTAATAGAGGTGAGTATTGCGAAGAAAAAGATAGCCGCATTAATAAAGAATATAAAAAAATCCTAAAAATTAAGAAATAAAACGCGACAAACTCAATTTGTAGAGAAGTAAAGAGATGGAAGTTACAAAATAACAAGGATAAGTGGTTAAATAATGTTTATATATGATCATTACAATACAACTAAATGGGATGAAGAGACTCGAATGTAGCATATCAATCTAAAATACATGTTGTACTTTGAAAACTAAAATAATGAGTAACTAGGCACCAAAACAATTATTTATTTTCACATGTAGAAAAAACTTCCATATATAGAAAGAATGGGGCAAACGTTATACCTAAATTAAGGTTGAACTAGATAGCCTAGCAAATTAAAGGAAAAGTAATGAGACTATTGTCTAATTGAAGCTTAATATCTAATTCAATTTTAAATCTTTGACTAAAGGATCAAATACTCGATTTAAACCTAACCGACGGGAAGTCAAACACCCGATTAGAAAAGGTCTAAAGAAAGCATAATGAATGCAAAGCTTTTTAAAGAGATCACAGAGCATAGATCCTTGACAAGATTGAGTTGTTGTTTAACACACTAAAAGAATAACAATCCTAATTACCTAGAGACCACTCAATAACATAATGTTCAAAAATTAAACATGAATTTAGCATAAAAAAAGATACGATCTAGACAATAACAAAAAGACATAGAGCATTGCAAAGCATAGAGTGAGAAATTACAAGGAAATATAAAGCAAAGAGATGGAAGTTGCAAAATAACAAGGATAAGTGGTGAGAAAATGTTTACATATGATCACTACAACATAACGGGGATAAGTGGTGAGATAATGTTGCAAAATAACGGGGATAAGTGGTGAGATGATGTTTATATATGATCACTACAACATAACAAAATGGGAGATGAAGAGACTCGAATGCAACATATTAATCTAAAGTACATGTTGTACTTTGAAAACTAAAATAATAAATAATTAGGTGTCAAAAGAATTATTTATTTTCACATGTAAGAAAAACTTCCATATATAGAAAGAAAGGGGCAAATGTTATACGTAAATTAAGGTTGAACTAGATAGCCTACCAAATTAAAGGAAAAGTAGCTAGACATATGTCTAATTAAAGTTCAATGTCTAATTCAATTTCAAATCTTGGACTAAAGGATCAAATACTCGATTTAAACCTAACTAATGGGAAGTCTACCACTTGATTAGAAAGTTCGAAGAAAGAATAACAAATGCAAAGCTTTTTAAACGAGATCATAGAGCATAGATTCTTGACAAGATTGAGTTGTTGTTTAACAAATTAAAAGAATAACAATCACAATGACTAAGAAACCACTCACTAACATAATGTTCAAAAATTGAACATGAATTCAGCATAAAAAAGACACAATCAAGACAACAACAAAAAGACAAGATTGAGTTGTTGTTTAACAAATTAAAAGAATAACAATCATAATGACTAGGAGACCACTCACTAACATAGTGTTCAAAAATTGAACATGAATTCAGCATAAAAAAGACACAATTAAGACAACAACAAAAAGACATAGAGCATTGCAACATAGAATGAGAAGTTGCAAGGAAACATGAAGCAAAGAGATGGAAGTTGCAAAATAACGAGGGTAAGTTGTGAGATAATGTTTATATATGATCACTACATCATAACAGGGATAAGTGGTGAGATAATATTGCAAAATAACGGGGATAAGTGGTGAGATAATGCTTATATATGATCACTACAACATAACTAAATGGGAGATAAAGAGACTGAATGCATCATATCAATCTAAAGTACATGTTATACTTTGAAAACTAAAATAATGAGTAATTAGGTGCTAGAAGAATTATTTATGTTCACATGTAGGAAAGACTTCCATATATAGAAAGAAGGAGGCAAATGTTATGCCTAAATTAAGTTTGACCTAGATAGCCTACCAAATTAAAGGAAAATTAGTGAGACTCATGTCTAATTGAAGCTCAATATCTAATTCAATCTTAAATCTTTGACTAAAGGAAAAAATACTCGATTTAAACCTCACCGATGGGAAGTTTAACACCCGATTAGAAAGGTCCGAAGAAAGAATAACAAATGCAAAGCTTTTTAAAAAGATCGCGAGCAAAGATTCTTGATAAGATTGAGTCGTTGTTTAACACACTAAAAGAATAACAATCCTAATGACTAGGAGACCACTCAACAAGTATAATGTTCAAAAACCGAACATGAATTCGACGTAAAAAAAAGACACGATCAAGATAACAACAAAAAGACATAGAGCATTGCAACATAGAGTGAGAAGTTGCAAGGAAACAAGAAGCATTACAAAAGTGCATGAAAAAATACGGAAGAATGTGATCCATCTAGCAAGATGATAGAGGAGTAAATACAAGCTATAAAATGAGGAAACAAATACATAAAATAACAAACAATCAAACTCAAGAACATTTGTAAACAACAAGAAGCTCTTACAACACTATATCAAGTTTCAACACACTTGAAACTTATTAAGTTATAATTTGTAGGGTGTAATTTATAGCTTGTGATCAAATAGGTTGATAAATTGGTTTTTAGTTCTTGTCATGAGTTCACAGTTCACAATCATAAATGATTAAAATGTCTAAAGTACTTATTTACAAGCATTCTTTGTCATCGACAAGTTTCTACTTAAACTTATTACATTGTTAAGCTTGTAATCTTATATTTTCTTGTATGTGGTTGTTTAATCTTCTAATTTTCAATTTGAACTTGTTATTTTTTTTTTTATTACAAATTAGTTTGAGACATTTGAATTGCCTATTTAAGATAATAATTGTCGTGAATAGTCACCCACACAAACTTGCAACCCAACCTATCTTGGCGAAATGCAAACTTTGCTTGAGGGTAATAAATTAGTTTTACGTTATTTGATTTAGCTATTTTATTTTTAAAACAAATATCTAAAATATCATTAGGAGAAGTCGTAGTACATATAGGATCATTAATTAAGTTTTTTTATATTCGAGTTTGAAAGTTGTACTATCTTACAAATTATTATTTAATTTATTTTTTATTTTTTATTGAAAGTTTTTTTTTTAATTGAGAAAAAAAAAAAAAAAGAACTTGCAGTAGTTTTTTTTAATATATATTTTCAAAATTGACACTTGTTTCAGGAGAGCCATCTTATGTCGGAAGGCACATGAGTAACATGTTAGCTATGTTCTCGGAATAGCTATAGTAAAGCCTCGTTGTAAAATACATGTTTCCAAATTATATTCTTTGATGCATCCAACAAATTCCAATGACCTTCGAATTAATCAACTTCGGTCCCTTCGAACTGTGCGTTACACCAATCCATACGCTACGCAAATAGCCAAAGTACTATTCTCTTTGTTCGGCCAAAAATTAAAATACTTCTCATAGGACTAATAATTTAACCTGTTGTTTCATTTCCAATCTGGTTTCTTTTTATCCCTCGTAAAAATAAAAAATTAAAAAAAAAAAAAAAACTAATTATGCGATAAAATTCTTTAAAAGTTTCCCGGTCACATGATTAACAAAAATTAAAGAGGAGTATAGAGTAGTGTATAAAGGCTGTGCATCCTTGAAAGCTTGGAACTTGAAATAAAATTTAATTATAAAAGGTGGGTAGTATCGGTAGTAATAATAATAATAATAAAAAGCCTCGTCAGGGTTTTCATTTGTTTTGGTTTGTTTAAGGTTGGCCATCTGTACTATCTACCAAACTGAAAACGTCTAATTATTATTAGTAGACAGCAAAATAACTCGTTGTTAATGACTATTGAAAAAATATGGCATTCACACGTGTTAACGTTACGACTAGTGTGACTAAAGTGTTAATTAAGCTTGCTTGCTTGCAGCTGCATCCTATATTCCCAATCCAATCAAAGAAGGTACATGATGCAGATGTCATTAATTTTTTCCGTTGATGTATACTTGATACAGTTAATCATATGATACGATGGACCTTTGAAAGGATATGTCGTGATAAAATAAGAGGCACTAGATCATCCTGTCAGTCAGGGCCCCTGCACTTTAATCTGCGGAAAGACGGAGAGAGAGAAAAGAAGGAACATAAAATCACGGGCGAGCAATGTTTTTTTTGTCATCTTTTGTTGCTGCAGGATTCATATGGGTTTCGAGAATCTTACATTGATAGCTTTTGGACATGGTTTCGTTTGCTCCTACTCCTACATGATAGTGGGAATATCACGAGCCATCCAGTATCCACACCATACCCCCTTTTTTTGTAGCTTCCGCTAGGCAGTAGGCACCAGCAGTTAGCTGGTACCAGCTTGTATATTAAAGAAATGAGAGGCAAAGAGATTGGTTAGCTAGGTTGCATTATCTTTGGATATAAATCTTGCTCGTCTTCGGCTTCTATCCTTCACCTGTAGTTCAAAACAAGTTCATAAAAAACTAATGCAGATCTCTAAATCACTTTCCTCTCAAAATTCTGAAAGTCATGAATCCCAAGACGTTATCCGTTTCGACAAGTCTCTTCAAGTATATTTATACTCCTTATTTTTCTAGCATTTTTCTTTCAACATTCTTTAATTTCAAGTGACTCATATATATGGATGTATGTTCTTTCTGGGTTTGACATATAGGAACTTAGAGACCTGCGTTCTCAGCTCCATTACGCAGCCAATTACTGTGAAACAACTTTCTTGAATACCAAGCACAAGAAAAAGTGAGTTCTCGACCTCCAGTAGTACCCTCCTAGTAATTTAGTTTTCAATTCTTTTATATATATATATATATATATATGGGTGTGTGTGTAGTTTCTGTCTAATAAAATTAAAACATGCTCATGCATGGCCAATAAGTTAGTTGATTATCTGAGCATCTTCAGCAGATGGACTAAAATATTACTCCTAATTATATATATTTGCATAATTTTGCAGGGTTGTGGAAAACACAAAAGAGTACCTATCTAGAGCGGTGGTTGCTGTTGTTGATCATCTTGGATGCGTCTCTGCTAATCTTAACAGCAGCATTTCTAAGAATAGTGAATTTTCTGAGGCTGAGCTTAGAATTAATTGCTTAAAACAAGTAAGTATCAATATTACATCCATTTTGCGGAACTTATTTGGTCACCATCCCAGAAAAGTACTTGATGTATGCCAGTACTCGTAGTATGATATTTATTAATTAATTTTTTTTATTTATTTTTTTTGTTGTTGTTAGAGACTACTTTCATGTGAAAAATATGCTCACAAGGTTGCTCTAACAAGAGTAAGGTGGAGTGCAAATATACCGAAACATCATCTCCGCTATTTGTCAACACGTAAATATTGAATGCTCCTCTTCTAATTTGCTTCTTTATTACAAATAAAAATCAATTTGTTGCTGATTTACGGTAAGGTTTAATATTAATTACTTGGTTAATTTGCTTTTCTTGACCAGCAATCACTAGTGTTGAGAAATCAAATGAAGATGTAAGGTACATATATACTACTTGTCTACTACAGTACATATAAACAATCAAGACGTGCATTATCAAGCTAAGAGATACATAAAAGATAATGGGGCAATTGCATCTCTGAAAATTTTTTTCAAAATTTTCATAACAGTACGTCACTTTATAGTTAAAGGATTTTGAATGTACTTTATATATATATATATATATAGACATTTGCTTCCTATAGTTCTTTAAAAACTTTTCCATTACTTCATGACATATATATCTATTAAAGAGTGATTTGTTTAGAATAATTTATCAAATTGTCATTGAGATGAACTATTCTGTGCTTGAGAATTGAATTTTGATATGATAATTTTGTTTAAATCCAACACTACGTAATGAAGTAACACTATTTGTGTAATAATACCAATCGCAAATAATATTTTTACCTTTTTACTTTTACCCCATAACGATGAATCCTACCTCCATCTCCGAGGGGCATATGAATAGACATCACTTTAAAAATCCGGACAGAAATTTGAAAACTTTGATGTTATGATGTACATATTTAATTTATTCTATATATGCAGAGATTCTAATTCTCAAGTTTCCACAAAAGTACCGTTGAACAAGCAGGCAGGGGACCTGCCTCTTTTCTTGCACACCTGCACTCAAAAATCAACCTCAACCAAGAATTTATGGTCGGCAACTTCCACTGAGAAAGGGGACACTAAATTAGGTAATATATATATATATAGTGGGCATGAACCTTTTTTTTTTCCTTTAATATATATTAATTAATGCATATTCTAAAATATCGTATTTACTCTCTTTGAATAGTATTGCCTGTTCGTGATGGCCTTTCAATACTCTCAAGAAATCCAAATCCCACTTTTCATTTTCAGGTGAGGATTAATTATACTATGTATCTGTCAATTATTAATTAGTTTTACTAATTCATGGTCTTGATCGTTTTGGTGCAGCAATGTTCCCCGAAGCATGGCCGGAGCACCTTAATCAGAAAATCATCACCACACACTAACGACCTCTTATCACTCATTCGCCGGTCCAAACGAGCAACATAATGCGATGATTGAAAAATTTCTGGGATATACTAATCATTGCATATAGTTAATTACATTAGATATATTATGCTTGTATTTGGACAAGAAAACACCCTTGTACAGTTTCTTTCTTGATTAAGCGGGAGTTTATTTTGCATAAAATATTTTACTTTTTTGTAAAACATTTTTCATGGAATGGCAGTAGAATGATAATAATAATGATGATGTGTTGTGATGATAATGATGACGGACTAATAGTGGGGTTAGTGAAGGTAATGGTGGAGCAATGGCTACGACGGCAATGGCAACGGCAACAGCAACGAAGATAATGATGAACTAGTAGTGTGGCGAGGTAGAGGTAGTGTTTGTTGTTATGTACTATTGGTGGCAATGGTGGTCACACTGATAGGGTAGAGGTGGTGATGATAATGTTATGGTAGTGATTGTTGAAATAATTAGATGATATTATGAGTTGATTATTGTTTATTAAATATTTTTATAAAATTTCATAAGTTAAAGATATTTTTCAATAAATGAACTAAAGTTTAAAAATTGCCAAAAAAATATTTTAACTTGACCAAATTTTCATTAAATATTTTGTAAAAAACAAATACATAAAATTCAAGAAAACATTTGCTTGTGAAATACTGTACGCAGAACAAACTCCTGCTCAGTAATTCCAACTTTCAACTTACAAGTGATGGAATGGGGATCTTTGGTGATCAATGTTTAGGACTGTCTTTTAGGCCTGTATTTATTAGAAAAAAATATGTCAACCTCTAAATTAAGTCGGCAACTCCCTTATTGGAAAGTTCCATTCGATAGAAAATCGACACGCTGTCTACCCCTTCACCCAAATGTCTCAGTATGATTTCAAATAATAGTTGTTATATAATGTAATATTCGTTATTTAATAGTTTCAAACATGTATATTATCATTATATGCTGTTATAAAGAGGATAATAGCATTTTTTATAAATAATAAAATTATACATCGTTATCGTTATATAATATCGTTATTTGATGAATAACGATAATAATTTTTTTAAAAAAATAATTCTTTGTATGTCATTATTGTTCATGTGATATTAAATTATTAGAAGTATTATTAATTTTTTTTTAGCAATAAATTCAACTATTATTGTATGATATTAAATTAATAAAAATATTATTATTATGTTTAGCGATAAAATTGTTAAAAATATATAAATTAGAATAAATTTATTAATAATTATTATCCTATTAATGTATTCAAAACACCGATCATCATAACTATTATTTTAGTATCACAACAAGTTATGACTTGCAATCACCATCGGGATCGCTTTTGTAACCACATTTTTTATTTAAAATTACAATAACAAACAGTATTAACTTGAAAACCCAACCTCATGCTCGGTAACTATTTAAGTTTTAAATTGATTCATATCCTATTCTCTCTTTCAATTGAATCGAATTTTGTATGATATAGTCAAGATTTAGCAAGATCGACTAATTATCACAAGATCCCATCCAAACCACTATCATCATCAACCACACCTCTTGTATGTTGATACAACTAAGCAAAGGGATCGTACTTATAAATCTCAACAAAAAGTAAAATGCAATTCATCACCCAACTAGCTACCATTGTGTTGCAAGTTTGTTTTTTTTTTTTTTTTAATGTCAATCTCAATTAAGAGAACTTTGTAACAAAGGAGTAAGAGTGATGATTGAAAAGTAGTCTCAGAGGCAATCTATCTTCTAAAGATGTAGGTAGATGAACCAAGTTAACTATCCTAGATATACTACTACTAATTCTAATGATATGTTTGGTATTTTATGTTATGAGTAAACTAAATAAAATACAATGTACTAGGTCTAGAAATTCTTAAAAGGGAATCATAACCACCCAAACTAATTGGGTTATAAGATTGCAAGGACAATAATTTAAAATAATAAATGATTTAAACTAATAATTGAGCTTAAACAATACATTCAAATTAAAAACTCGAAAGACCAAACATTAAAACACTAAGAAGTGTGGGTTGCAATATAAACATCAATCTAGGAATTACAAACTTTAACGAACTCCAATAGTACTTGTCGCTACCCAACGTCGAACGAGACTCCCGAAAAAATCTAAACAAAATCTAATTTAAAGATTTTATTTATTTACAAAATTTATTTACGTAGTTTAGAGTCGCTACCTAGTATTAAAGGAACTAGGAATCTAAAATAGGCACTCGGTTTATAGATTCTAAGGTAAGGAGTTTGTTACGCTTTTGGAAAGATATCGATCACCTAAAAGTGTCCTTTTCTAAGAAAGGCAACACGTCTAATTTAGTCCTAAATTCATCTCCTAAAATATTTTATTTTTGTCAAATTATTTTTCAATTTTAAAACTTTAATTTTCCAAGTCGTTCATTTCAGCCCAAATTAAATTTTTTATTTTTAAGCGTAACATCGTATTGAAACGATCGTCGGACCATACGGTTCAAACATTGGATCCACTTTAAGCCTCCACACAACTAGTGTGTTGGAGAATATCCTATTTATTAAAAATAATTTTTTTAGCTAACAACGAGTCTTTATCATATAGACAACTTTGTTAAAAGTTTTATGATTTTTTATCTTTTATTTTCTTTTTTATTATTTTTTCTCTTTCCTTTTTTTATTTGATGTAAGACCATCATTAGTCCCTAAAGAATTAGAAGACTTGACAAGTCCTTTACCCATTACTTACCGACTCTAACTACTAACTAAATAAATCAAAGTTACGTTAATTAAATAAATAAAAGAAAATTCAAATACTAAAATTTAAATAACGGACATGCATGAAATAAAATCAAAATTAAAATGACATTAATTAAAATAATTATAAATAATTAAAATATTAAATTCTAAGTTAACATAATCTAACAAATATGCATAAAATAAACTCAAAAATTAAAAATACATTAATTAAAATAATTAAAGACAATTCAATATTTAAATTAAATATGAAATAACAAAATGCATAAAAATAAAAACCCTTTTTTTTACTCTTTCTCCTTCTTCTTCTTTTTTATTGTTTAGATAGTCCAACTCTTTTTTTTTTTTTTTTTGGGAGGGGGTCGGATCAGGCTGAAATTAGCCCAATCTAGCCAAACACACAGACTTGGGCTCGCCTAAACCACAAACACTTCGTAATCTCCTTTTTTTACCAAATAGTGGATTAAAGACCCTTCTTTTTTTATTTTTTCCTTCTTTCTTCCCAATTTTCTCTCCTTCTTTTTTGCTTTTCTTTCTTCTTCCCTTCTCTCTCGCATCTAGCTTCCATGGATGAACCGAGTTATGGTTCGTCTTTCCTTTTCTTTCTCTCCCCTTTCTTTTCTTTCTCTCCCATTTCTTTTCTTCTATTCCCCTTTCATTCTTCTTTTTCTTCTTCTTCTTCTCCTTCTTTCTCTCACTTGGTCGAAACTCTCTTCCTTTTTTTTTTCTTAGATCTATTCACAAGGAACGAACCAAAGCTTCTTGGTTCATTCCTCTATGGTTTTATCCTTCCTTCTTTCTCCTAATCCTCTTAATTTCTCTCGAAATTGAAAAACCCCAAATTGATCTTCAAAAATTCTCAATTTTTGGTCGAACCCTAAGTTTTGATTTTTCTTGAATTTTCTTTCAATTGGACCTAATTGACTTGATTTCTCTTGAAATCAAGTCAATTCAAACCCTTTAGGACTCGAACTTTTGAAAACCCCCCAATTCAATTCGTTCAAAAACAATCAAGAACCCTAGGTCTTGATTAAAGTTAATTCAGCTTCAATTTGGGTTTCAAACCCAAATTTAATTCTAATTGACCTTAATTAGACTTAATTAGTGTTTCCTAATCCTCAATTTCAAATCAATTTCAAAAATCCTAAAATTTCAAACACAAAGCCTAAATTCTATCAAAAACCAAAATTAAAGAGGAACTAAACGAAATTACTCGAAGAATTGGTCAAGGTAATAGAATTGCAGCTTTAATTCGAGTGAATTCAATCTCTCTTCTTTTTTTAGATTTTTCTTCTCTTTTTTCTTGCTACTCACAATTTAGGTTTTTTGGGTTTTTCTTTCTTTCAATTGTTGAATTCCTAATCTCTTGTAATTTTTGAACGAACCCTCCCTCCTTTTTTATATTGTGACTTATGTATATATATGTATGAATGCTTGGTTCTTCACAATGAGGGCGTGAGATCTTTTCACTTGTAGGTGCGGCTATTGTAGTGGTGAAACTATTGGAGTTATGGGTAAAGCGGGGTGGTCTGGCGGGAGGGGTTACAACAAGGTATGAGGAGAAGTCGTGGGCTATGAAAGTAGGAGGGTGGTTGTAAGGGAGGCCGGAGATTGTGGGCTACTCGGAGGTCGGCGAGTGAGGGAGAGATCGTTGGAATTTGTAGCAATAGGATGGTATAAGGAGAGGCTACAAGTGGAGAGGATGAAATTATGGGTTGGAATTATTGACTTGGAGGGGCCGTGTAGGAATTCCGGGGATAGGGGATTGCAGCATAACTTGCAAGTTGCTATAGGAGGGGTTGCAAGCCGTAATTTAGCTTGGGAAGATAGCAAAAACCGCATGAAGATGCGAAGAAAATCGCACAAGAGATGTAGGGAACTGTCCCTTCATCTCTTCTTTTTTTTATTTTTCTTTTTTTTTGGTATTTTTATTTCTTTTTATAATTTTGTTATGAATTCTAAATAAATAAAAGAAAATATTTTTGATTTTTTTATTTTTTTGATTTAAATAATAAAAAAATAACGAACACTAAAATAAAAGAAAAAAATGGATAAAATTTTGGGATATGACAGTTGCTCCCTCTTTGTAATGCTTACAATCCAAACACTAACTCGAAATTTAAGTTTGCTCAGTGAGCTTGCAAAGAAGAAAGTAGCAAAAATTTTAAATCAAACGATAAATGGTTTCTTGTCTAGGAAAATGAAAAATGAGAAGATCATTAGGTAACCTTACCCGAATGCCGAACTAAATAGGATGTCTTGCTCGAAAACGAGAAGATTGTTAGGTA